GTTTTTAGTGCATGAATCTGAATTGAACAACCTGATAATGCTCACTCTGGTTATTGTTATCTGGTTGCTCACTACGTGCTCTTGCGCGCCGAATCCAATCAATTAAAAATGAAAACTGTTGCCAGCGCGAGAAAAGAAATATCATCGGTTTTATTGATACATACATACATACGTACGTATTAGCGTTTTATATAATATAGATTCTTATAATTATAAAAATAATTATAAGTATATAGAAATAATAATAATTAGAAGAAATATGTTAGTGGAAAATGGAAACACCCTGTATATGTAGAAAATACGTTCAGCAATGCATCAAAAATTCTTATTCTTTTTGTTTTGTAATACATAAAAATTGTCAATATAGAAATTTGTTTAAATATTATAAAGTTTTTTTTAGTTTATTTGCTTCCTAACATCTATATTTCATACATTCAATCTAGAAATATAAAGTTCGGTTATTTTAGAAATAGGTACATATTAAGTGCTGGTATGTTTAGTGTTAAAAACCAAAGCTTTCAAATTTTTTAGTCATTTCGTCAACATTTTAAAAGCCTTACCGCGAAAGAGATGATAATAAATAAGAGAAGATAATAAATAACTTTTTGCAAGATACTTTTAATAATAATAAACATATAGTTACTAATTTAAAATAACAAAAGCGCTGCGTTTACAAACAAAAACTATATATGTTTTTTTTAACCCTTTCAGTCCCAGTGATTCCAATTGGAATCATTACATTTATGTAATGATTATCGTTACATAATGATTATCATTACATTATTGAACATGTAATAAGTTTTTATTCTATATTATGGGTGTTATTCTTGCATTTTGTTGGGGGGAGGGGTGGATGCACAAATTATTTCCAAATTATTTCTTTCTCATTTTGAATATAATCATCACAATAAAAATAATAATTTAAAATCATGAAATCCGTAGCAGTAGTTATCGAAAAAAAGATCGACGAAGAAATCACGTGAATCGAACTCCTCAAATGCGTGATTCGTTTCTAGATCAGGTTGTTGTAATAAATGATATCGTATAAAAAAAATATCGGATTTAAAAGCTATGGAAAAATCAATAGCTATAACTGCCAAAAATTCGTTGGAATTATTATCTTAAAAAGTGAATACTCAAATGCACGATTCGAATTTTCCATATTGCTTGAAATGTATCGGGATATTTAAAATCCACTTGAAAATCAATAACTGCCGAAAATACAATTGAAACATATCGATTTACAATACTATCGGCGTAAATTGAGCCATTCAAATAGTGACTATCTCAATGCACGATTCAAATATTACGTCTAAATTTCTGTAGAAAAGAAAAGTATATATTTTTTTACTTCTCGAAAGAAAAATCGTTCTGCAAGAACTCTGAAACGATCTGTGCTAATGTCGCCGTGTCGCTGCGATTCTGCCACGGGAGCTACCACTAGAATAGATGTATACAAAAAGCGTAGAAAGTTAGCAGCCCTGAGACGAGTATCTTTTTAGATAATTAAAAATATCCAATACAATCGTCATGCTGCTGAAAATAGAGCTGCTAATCGCTTGAAGTATAGGCCTAAATCTAGTTAATTGTCAAATGTTATTAATATTATTTCCGAAAATAAATTGTTAATTTTGTCAGTAAAAAGATTATTTATAAGTTTTGGCTTGTTTTGTGGTAGATGAAGCCACCTGCTGTAACAATAGTTTTCGTCATGATGCTGACGTTCCAAGGAATTTTGGCCCATACGGAACCCTGCAACTTCAACCCCCTCTGCACCTGCACACATCGTGACGTCAGCTGCATAGGCGTCCCCTTCGCACAAGTCCCCACACTACCCCTTGATGACGTCTTCCAATTCACTCTACTGAAATCCGGTGTAGAAACCTTACAGGACAAATCATTCCAGGTGAGTTAGAGGATGCTTATAAACCTTCGAAAATCTTAGTCTTAAAATTCTTGATTAATCCATCAAAAATTTTTGATGGTTTATTTTGGTTTCAGTGAGATTCTTGATGGTCCACCATCATCCAACATTTTCTATTATGTTTGATATGTCAACAAACTTCCATCATTCCATGATGGAAAATGCTACTTTGATAATGATGGTTAACCATCAAGAGAAGTTTGATTCTCATGGAAATACAATCCATGATGATCCGTGATGGTTCCAACTATACATTTCCATGATGGTTTCATGGGAATTCTTGTTGGTTCTCAGACAATGTTCTCATCAAATGTTCTCATCAAAACAATGTTTTTTTTTTTTTAAATGTTGGATCATAAATAAGTTCAAATTCCTACATTGGGATGATGGTTGTTCATGATCGTTCCAACATTTGATTTTCGAGATACTATGATGGACATTTGTGCTGGTCCATAATGGTACAACAATGCACGTCCATGATAGTTTAATAATAATTGTTGGTTCAGCAGGAATGTACCATCAAAGCAATTTGGGTTTCTTTATGTTGACCCATCATCATATGATCACGAATTCCGACATTGGAGAAATGGTTACTTATGTTAGTTACCATCAAAAAATATAATGGTTTATGAATTATTGATGGTTATTATCAATATTATGTTGGTTCATCATTTTTGAAAAACCATCAAACATTTGAAGACTGAAATTTGAATAAACTGTGCTAGTGCAAATGGAATCTGCAGAAAATCCACACATAATTAAATCAATTAAATTAATCTTGGAAAATCAATGAAATCAGCTAACAATACAGAAATAGATGCTATTTCAATCAAACGGTTTAGACAAAAAAAGAAAGATTTTGATATCTGGCACAGAAGTAAAAGAAGAATTTTAAAATAAAATATCTTCATACCTATTTGATGAAAACAAATTTTATAAGCCGTCATATTAAGCATGTTGCATAGCGTTTTTAAAAAGTTCTTAAAGGTCCTTTTCGATTTTCTATTTTTAAAAGCCCTTTTTAATTGAGAGCCCTTTTTAATTGTTTTTTTAATTGAGTGTTTTTTAAAAGTGCTTAATTTTCTCTATTCGAAAATGAGATTTTTTTTCGTTACCATGACGGTTTTTGCCTGGTATTATGCAAAAGCGTGTTATTCAACATTTTCACAATTCATTCAACCACAATCCATTTCGGCGTATCATCGGTCCAATAGCGTAAGAAAGAGGCAATTATTTTACATGTTTGATGAAATACTTGCAAATCCGTATGAGCATCTATACTGAGCTGGGTTCGGTGAGATTATTGCACTCTCGTGTGCAACTCTACTGTCTTTTGCGCGATATTCTCAATTTCAACCTTAATTTTCCATCCTCTGACATCGAACCGAAAACTCTCAATTTTTTTTATAATGGCTAATATAATCAAGAAAGGAGCATCCTTGTCAGAAACTAGTTATTTTACCTTGGCCATGTAAAGTCTTGGAAAATTATTTTGCACTTTGTTGATGTTTATAGTGCTTAAAAATATTTTTTGGGTGCTTGAAAAGTACTTGCAGGGTGCTTATTTTTTGGTGAAAGATTTTGCTATGCAACCTGTCAAAACCAAATATAAATGTCATACAGGATGTTTCGAAACTGATGGTCAAAGACTTAAAGGCCGATTGAAAACAAGGAATTTTCACCATACGATCCAAGGGCGATGATCTACTCTAGAAGATATCTGTTACGTGGCAGTCACGAATAGCTCCTAGTGGTTCACCCACCCATGCATTGTATGGTGAAAATTCCTTGTTTTCAATCAGCCCTTAAGTCTTTGTTCACGAGCTTCTAAACTCCCTGACTATCATCTAAAACTACCACAACTTTCAAAGTTTATAGATGAAAATAGGCAAAAAAATTTAAAAAATGCCTCTTTAATCCGAATATTAACATTGTCTGATGATAATTAACCGGCATTTACAAGTTGAGATTGGTAGGCACTTTATTTACCCGTCGCACCTGAGTTGCTCTATGGGCTATTGACGGCGGTCTGGGAAACATTCCTGAGAATGTTCCGAAAACATGCCATCGCAATTTTGATCCTCTGCCGACGGGATGACTTTCAACGCCTGCTCCTATAACTGAAAGCCTCCACACGGTTTCTTATAGGTAGTCCGGTCATACCACTATGAAGGTAAACCAGTTTACGAAAGAGCCATCTAATAGAAAATCTAGCAAAAATAAGCAAATATATGTCTAAAAATTTGTTTAATTTATGAATATCATTGGTTAGTCTTATTTACTTATCAACGACTACAGATTCAATTCTCAAATATATATGATGGATTTATTTGAGAATTTAATTATATTTAAGAATAATTGAAAATATATAGGAGAAGATGGCACTTTTTCTTAATTACTATTAAAATAGAAATTGGATTCATGCACATAATTGGTTTACTTTTTAAATAGTCTGCGCAGACTACTTCTGAAAAACCATTTGAAGGTTTTCTGATGTAGGATGGGATGGCACTTTATGATAGAATAGTTTACCGAGAATCAATACGACGCACCCTCGGTTTCTACATAGGCTGATGAAAGTGGTCACCCACCCGCTTACTGACAGCAGCCATTGATGCTTGATTTCGGTGTTCTACCGGTAAACGTGTCTTTACGATCAATCCATTGCGGGACATTTCCAAGTTGAATATAAGGATTGATTTCTATTTAATGAATACAAAAACTACAATGAATAACTTTGATTTTTAGTGTTTCATTTTTGTCGTCTTTTTTCTTTTCAAAGAATACTCGAATATCGTCTCTAAGAATGATGCAGAATCAACTGTCTCATATTCACCCGAAGGCTTTCCAAGGGAGTGAATTAGCTTTGACTACTGTGGATCTCAGTTTCAACAGATTGCACAGATTACCCCAAGAGGCTCTTCAGAGGGTAACACAAATTTTCAATTACCTCAAATTACCACAACACAAATTTTCAATTACTTCGAATTACCACACCACAAATTTTCAATTACCTCGAATTACCACAGCACAAATTTTCAATTACCTCTAATAACCACACCACAAATTTTCAATTACCTCTAATTACCGCACCACAAATTTTCAATTACCTCAACACAATTTCCGATTACCCAATAAAAATTTAGCTTATATGGATTTTCTCTCATGAAAATTCGTGTTTATAATTAACTTTAACTGAGCATATTTAAATGTACTTATATTGCTTACCTGTCCTTCAAAATTCAACTTTTTTAAAACTAATAGATTTCATAAGTTAAGGTTACAGTGAACTCTTAATTAGTTTTTCTTGAAAAATAATGTTATAAGGGGCATTCAAATGAAACCCGGCCACTAGTGTAAACCATCGATTTTGATAACTCATAAATGTAGCTATACACAGTACACATACTAGTCACAAAAACTGTTTTACGCATTTATCCCATTGCTACACTAGCCGGTCTGTTCCATTTTTGAAGAAACTAGTAGGCCGCTGTCGAATCCAGGCCTGGACCCAGTTACACAAGTCGTCGTCCGTTGTGAATCGATGTCAGCGAATAGAGAGGCCCAAAAACATGAAAGTCACGTGGTGAAAGGTCTGGATTGTACGGTGGATGTTCCAGCGTTTCCCACCGAAACTTATTCCTGCTTACGCTCCTGCACGTTCCGTAGTGGACGATAACTTGTGTGACCTTCTCTTCGGCGTGCAACCACACTGTCGCTATGCAATGTCAGACGTTGCGCATGCGCCAGTCTCTCTACCAATAGATGGTGCCGTAATACATGCAGTTACGTGGCTCCCCATTACGTCTAATGCAAAATTGGACGCACTGGCCAGGTTTCAACTAAATGACCCGCATACATTGCTGTAACTTGTATGAATTATTTATATTTAGATAAAGAACATGAAAACATAATTTGATACTTATTAAATGGTATAACATGAAAAATTAAAATGTTTTTTTTTTTTTTAAATTGTCGATTTATTTTGCGCAAAATTGTTTCTTAAATTTAAAGATTCTTTGTTAATTTCATCTCTATTTAACCTTCTCAAAGTGTAGAGAAAAAAATTTACACATTTTACAATTAATTTTTATTGATCTAGATAGTGTTTCCAGTTCGATGCAAAATTGTGTTTTGAGAAAAACAATTTTTTGTCATAAAAGAGCAAAATAACACTAATATTGTTAAATGCCTTACAAATTCTTATGATTTTAATAATTTATATGATTTCTTGTATCAGAACCAAGTAATTCCTTATAAATGTAGCAAATTATGGCAGTTCATATCAGAAACTAAGGTGGAAGAGAAAACGGTATTACAACAAAAAAGAATTTGAAAAAATTGCCCAAAAATACACAATTATTTTATTTTTCACAAATTTGCTCATTGAAATGATATATCTCGATAACATGTACACAGAACTTATATAACTAATCAAATGGAGTAAAAAATTATGATTAATTAATACTAAATCATGCGTAGTAATGAGTAGACATACTAAAAAATTACGAGGTTTCAGGTGACAGTAGAAATGAAAATAAGAGTGTGTTGCACGAATGTGAGAAAAAGAAACTAGCTTATAGCTTGATTGTAATCCCTCAAATACGAAAAATTCTTTTCCATGTTATAGAGCATCATTTAATTAACATAAAATAATCAAAATTAGAAAATCGGTTTTTCCAGGGTTTTATTCCGATTTGGGGTGTCCACTATAGCCATGATAAATTCTTGAAGAGCCGCGATGGCTCAGGGGATAGAACCTTTAAATGAGGTGAACCGTGGTTCGATTCCAGCGATGGCTGGTCGATACTAATTCCGCATCCGGCTTGCACCAACAACAACACTGACGTAAAATATCCCCAGTGATAGACGTATCATGGGTTAGAGCAGTGTTTCCCAAACTTACGACTTTTGTGTACCCTTTTTAAGTTTTTCGTAACGCTGTGTACCACTAATAAGAAAATGAAAGTATTTTTCACTATAAAAAATTGTACAAAAGTTAAAAATCACACCTGGATGTTGACACCACTAATTATTAACTGTTAACTCTGCAAAAAATAGCCGAGAGAAAAATACGCAATCGTAAATTTTTATGGCTAGCTTTGTTTTTAAATAAAATTTTTGAAATTTTCGCTTGTTGCAAGATAATTCCATAAGAACGCGTACCCCTGCTGAACGGTTCCCGTACCCCTGGGGGTACGCGTACCACACTTTGGGAAACACTGGGTTAGAGTCCCTTTGCTGTCAAGCTAACCGTGGGAGATTCCCGTGGTCTTCCTCTCCATGTAACGCAAATACGGGTAAGTTCCATCAAAAATTCCTCCACGAAGTCAAATTTCTCCGAATACTTGATCCAGGAGTCCTCTTGTCCTCTGGATTGGGTTCAAAATGACAGGGCTACGGAGTTCAACATTAGTAGTCGTAAACCCATAAAGTTGGGTCGACTGTTCAAGGACGGTTATCAAAAAATAAATTGATAAAAAAATCATGTAAGAACAAAGTAAATTTCGCAATATTCTACAATTATTTTTTTAATGTTAAGAGCATCGAAATATTTATTATTTTAATATCTTCTAAAGAACTTTTTTAAAAAATACCTTGAAATTTCAACAATCTAGTAATAGGTTTCATAAGTTAATAAATTCATGAAGGAATAAAGTAAATTTAGTAATATTCGATAATTTTTTTAATGTTAAAAGCATCGGAATGTTTATTATTTTAATATTTTGTATTGAAATTTTTTTTTAAAAATTATGGCTTTTTATGAATTACCTCTTATGTCGTGCAAGATAACGTCTCACAATTTAAAGAACTTTTATAAATTCAAGTTGTTACTACCTATTGTTAGAATTAAAAACGATGATTCCTGTACGATAGTTAACACGACTAAGGGAAAAAATAACGTCATATGCTTTAATTAGCATATCACAAAGCAAACCCCTTCTCTATCATAAGTCGATATCAAATTCGAATAAAATTATACTCATTCGATACAAATAATGAAATAATTTATATAAATTGCTACCATCCGTCGGGACTTCCTATTTAACTTGCTCTCCGAAAATTTAGAAAATTAGAAGAATATATTAAGACGAATGAGCAAGACATTTCATCAAGAGTTATCACTAGAAAACGAAATTAAAAAAATGAAAAGATTCCCACCGTATATACTCAGCAACTCCCCACTGCCATTTTGTTTTCGGTTCAGCAACTATTTAGAATTTTTTAATACCCTAGGTAAACTTTATTGACAATATATCATGGGCGTTGAAAGTGTCCAATATTTGAGGGGGACAAGATTAACCCCCTTAATAGCGACATATTTCAGAAAAATGGACCAAAAATGGAAAATGTTTTTGACTGTTTATTTTTTTTTCTTTATCATAAAATTTAGAAAATGGTTTTTTTATTGCAAAAGTAAAATTTTAAATGCAATAACTACTGTATTTATAATTTCTACTTACACATAAAAAGGTAATGGATTACACACACATCTTATTCATTTAGGGGAAATTAAACAAAACTTGAAGCTAAAATATAATATAACTAGTATAATATAATATGAAAACACACTGAAAAACAACCAAAACTAAACGAGAAAGCGAAACTTTGCCTTTGTTTATCAATCTAAGTGTGTCTTTGTTTATCTGAGCAGCTGACAACACCCACATTTTCCCTAACTCGACTGAAGTCGTAATCAGTGAAAAACTGGGACCATTAATGCCATCTATTAGGAAAATAGGGAACTATGTATCCTAAAATCAAAACGAAATCAGCTCGGGCATCACAAATACTGCACGTAGTAGTTGTATGAACTGGATTCGGGCGACAATGGCAAGGGGTTAAAACGTACAGTGGAAATAGTTCACCAAGTTCCACTTGTAAAAAAACGAATTTCTTAACATATATAAAAAGATTAATTTCTTTCTTAAATACACCTCAAATGAATTTAAATCGATTATGATTGACGAGTATTTTTTCTGAGAGAATTATCGAGGGTGATATATTCAAAATACCTCCCCTAGCATTTCTTTTCCGTTTCTTGTTCGTAAACTGTGTTTTAAATGTTCGACACACAGTTTAAATAAATGAGCTTGAATCATTTTCAGTTGAGGCATCTGCAGTGGTTAAGCCTACATTCCAATGACATCGATGATTGGCCAAGCTTACCCTCGAAGCCAAACTTGCGCAGTGTTTTTCTTGGAGACAATCGCATTTCACTCCTCATAGATGGCGCCTTCTCCAACCTACACAACCTGACGTCACTGGATCTCGACCAGAATTGCCTAACTGACGTCAAAAATCACCCTTTTCCCTCCTCTCTCCAGACACTCTCCCTCTCCAACAATCTTCTGAAGCGTGTGCCATCTGAAGCACTCCACAATCTGCGAAACCTCACTTGGCTTCAGGTAATCATTTTACTTACTTCCCAGAAAGCATGTAACCTTACAGCAACCTTGTTTCGTAATTTACTTTTTAGTGTCACGAAAATCTTTGTACTGAAAACCTTTTTTCGATTATTGCAGTTTCAAACCTTTCATCCTAAAAGGATTAAAAGTTATTTTTTAAAGCTTTTTTAAAAAGTATAGTCACTTAGGAAAAATTGTCACTTCCCCAAACCATTTACATTATAACTTTTATTCTTATTTATCTGTAGTTTACTAACAATTGCTACCTTTTTTTGTTACTTAATAGAAGACCTCCCGAAACAGTTTGTTCTAAAGGGTGTCCCAAAATTAACGCAAGATTTGAATTTGCCGCCATTTTCGCGTAAATTGTTGGCAACCCTATAAAAAGAGCAATTTGACAGCTGTTAGGGTTAGTAAAAATGAAGCGTTCAAGACTGTGTCACATGCCATACAGCCAGTGGAACAATTCAATTACTGCAAGAGACATTTCCTGGTCGTGTACTCTCTCCTTTTGGTGATCATAATTGGTCCCCTAGATCGTGTGATTTAACACCGTTAGATTTCTTCTTATGGAGTTATTTGAAGTCAAAGGTCTATGTCAATGAGCCCACAACCACCCGTGCATTACAAGAGGAAATTAAACGCTGCAGCAACGAAATTTAGCTGCAATTATGCAGAAAAGTCATGAAAAAATTCGACAAAAGAGTGCGTATTTGCCACCAAAGCCGTAGAAACCATTTGACCGATGTCCATAAATAACCCTATTCTAAGTACTTTATGATTCAATGGAAAAATAATAATCTAATGACTAAAAACTGTGTTCTATTTCATTCAAACCTTGCGTTAATTTTGGGCAACTCTTTATAAACTTTAATTCTTATTTATTTATAGTTTACTGATAATTACTACTTTTTCGTGTTTTAGTTGAATGGTAACTTAATAGAAGACCTCCCCAAACCGTTTATTCTACCAGTGAGACACCTCACGAAACTGGATCTCAGCCACAACCTCATCAGAATTCTCTCCGCATCTTTACTGAACCACACAGAAGTCGCCATCACGAACCTCCACCTCGAATTCAACTACATAAAGACTCTAAACGGGGCCACGTTTAAGGGTTTCGTTGTCGAGAGGCTCTCCCTGTCCAACAACAGACTCAGAACCATTCCAGACGGCTCATTCGAAGGGCTTCAAGACACCCTCAAAGCCCTTGATCTGAGCCACAACCTCCTGGAGACATTTCCAAAAGCCTTAAAAGATCTGACCGCCTTGAGTCATCTCTACCTTCGGGGCAATTCCATCAAAGACCTAGATCCTTACGACTTAAACGGCTGCCGTTATGACTTAGACATTCTCGATATCTCTGGGAATAGATTCAGAAAAGTGCCGCGAGAGGCGCTGCATGCCACCCAGAGGATATCACGCATCAGTCTTCAAGATAATTCCATTTCATCCATATCCGCTGCAGACTTCAACGTATGGGGCCAATCTTTAACAGCTCTGAATCTGGCTAACAATGAACTCACTAGCATAGCGCCAGATACTTTTTCCGGGACAACGAAACTCAGAGAACTTAGACTCTCTTACAATAATTTGGTGTCCTACGATCCCAGTACGTTCAAACCGATCAGATCGACTCTTGAAATTTTGGAATTGGGTAACTTCAACCTTCCCACTCTGGAAGTCCTTGAAGGAATGGAAAAAGTTAAATGGTTGCAGGTAGACTACAACAAGTTGAACGCGCTTTCGACGTCGACTTTTGAAGGAATGCCTTCCCTCATTCATATCGACTTGGAAGGAAATAAACTGCAATCTTTACCTTCAGGACTCTTCAGAAATAAAGTTCACACGCGACTCAACAGTGTCGTTTTAGCTAATAACGAAATAGAAGTGATAGAAAACGGCACTTTCTACAAACTGCCTTTTCTGACGAACGTTGTTTATTACGGTAACAGGCTTACCACGATTAAATCTTTCGCTTTCAGCGAGATGCCGATTCTAAACACCGTGATTCTCGCCAGGAACAGAATCTCCAGCATCGAAAAAGCGGCTTTTTCGAACCTGAAAAGCGTCACGAATATATTCCTCCAGGACAACAACCTCACGGAGTTCTCGTTCGTCGGATTCCACAAAGTGGGCGAGTCCAAAAACCACGTGTTCCTCGACCTGTCTTACAACCGAATCGAACACCTGCTGAAAGTGCCGGACTTTAAAGAGAGCGAGAGGTACATCAATGTGCGCAGTTTAGACCTTAGCCATAATCTGATATCAAAAATAGACGGTAGCTTCCTTAAACCTGTGGGCAAAACCTTGCATTCCTTGACCTTGTCCTACAACCGGATAAGTTTCCTCGACACTTCCATCTTCCAACATGCACCCAACCTGCAGGTGCTGCACCTGGACGGAAATCTGCTGTCCAACTTGCCAAACGGCGTCTTCCAAAATTGCCTTATGCTGCAGATCATCAACATCGGTCGGAACAACATGTCGACGGTGTTTAGCGGTGCTTTCCGAAATCTTAGCTCACTTCGCATCTTGGACCTTAGCCAGAACAACATCAAAACACTACCAGAGGACGTTTTCATAGGCACCAGTCTGGAGCGGTTGAATTTATCCAGCAACGACATATACTACGCCCCGACTGAGAGCCTGGCCCACACGCGAGCCACCCTGAGATATCTCGACCTGTCCGGTAACCGGATATCCAGCATTCCAACCAGCGGGATCAACCATCTCCACAATCTGCTGAGCCTGAATTTGTCGGGTAATCACCTGTCGAGCTTACCGGAGGACGCTTTCTCTAAGTTAGTGTATTTGTTGTACCTAGACCTGTCCCACAACTCGCTGTGGAAGTTCAGCGACGAACCTTTCAAAGCTCTGGTGTCCCTGCAAACCCTCAACCTATCTGAAAACAATATTCCCAACGTGCCGAATTTTCCGCTGCCCTCTCTGCGCGTCTTGGACTTGTCTCATAATGTCATATGCAACGTGTCTGACTTGTCGTTGTCGAGTGTGACGGAGTTGAGGCAGCTGGATCTGTCTCACAATTATCTGGCCGAAGTTCCGGTGCACGTGTGGCCCTCTATTGTCAGACTTATCAAATTGAATTTGTCTTACAATCCAATCCGTGCTCTGACCACGAACAGCTTCAGAAAATTGGAGAAGCTGAGAGAATTGGATGTCCGAGGTCTTGATCTCACTTTCATGGATTCCAGAATACTACACCACTTAAAGTAAGTTTTTTCTACACCATTCTCGACTCACATATCTTTTGAATAATTCTCCTATTACAGAATTGGGTTCAAATGTTTTTCAAATCATTGCTTTCGCATGTTATAAAAATATAAACATTGCACACCATAAAGTTTTTTTATCCTTATATACATTAAATAATAAGGATCAAAATAAAAGAATTTTTTAAAATATATTTAAAAAATAATAAAAAGTCGGAAAACAAAATAAGAAAAACTTCTCTTCGTCAGCTGATACGATTATATCAGCAAAAAGGAGTGCTTTCTAATTTTCTAATACTGTATCAATATAGCCAGATAGAAAATAAAATGTCAAGAAAACACAGAACAAAAAACGAAACCTATATAGCGAGTAACGAATTTAATATTAACTTACACTTACCGGAATCTTTCAAGAATGATTTCGGATATTTTCGTAATAAATTGAATGTGAAGTTCTGAGCATAGAGGAACATATTTTGAGCATGTGAAAACAAAAGCGTGTATAGAGGGATCTTATACGGCTCGTTCTTACTGCAGTAATGAAGCGCATTTGATTTGTTAGTTACCAAGGATAAGCCCGGAAAAGAATGTACGCAAGGTAATATTATACTGGATAATTACTAGTTTATAATTAGTAAGGTTGATTCATAATTATACAAATGAAATTATTTTATAAAATAACATTTATACATAATTTGTCCAGTTTGCACATGGTAAAAATATAAATTAATAAAGAATTTTTTTACATATATAAAAATTAAGTTTAAATTATTGAAATAACAAGGGAAATATAGATTTTTAAATAAAAAGTAAATTACTTAAAAAACTTTATTTTAAATAAAAAGGAAAACTTAAATTTAGTTAATTTTTGGTTTATATAAAGTTTCTAAGCATTTATCAAAACAACCTGGATTTCTAAACGCACCAGATTTTGGATTTCACGGTTACAAAGGTTACATATACACCCTGAATAAATTTTTGGTCAAATTATTTATGTATAATAATTATAGACAATAAATGTCCCAAGCATTTATCAAAGCGATCATTTAAATTTCGATCTGCACTACATTTTGGACTTTACGGTAAAGCTTTCACATTGAATTTATTTTTAAGTTTGATAAGCTGTATACAATAATATGCAACAAATTTAATATGTGTATTCAAACTAACTATGTGATTTCATAGAGCACATACATACTGGATTATTTTTAAACTACTCAAATAAAACATTTGATGGTTTTCCATTGATGGTAACCAACATATGTAACCATCATCCCAATGTAGAAATTCGGACTGTTGTATGATGGTCCAACATAAGAAAAGCTACTTGATTTGATGGTTTGTTCATGTCGAACCATTAGAAATGTCCATCATAGTTTTTTAGATGTCAAATGTTGGAATGATCATGAACCCTTATCAAACCAATGTAGGAATTCAAACTGATTTATGACGGGCTACATAAGAAAACCAAAATTGCTTTGATGGTATATTCCTGCTGAACCAACAAAAATTATTATTAAACCATCATGGAAACGCATTGTTGTACAATTATGGACCATCACGAATTTCCATGACAGTATCTTAAAAATTAAATGTTTGAACGATCATGAACAACCATCATCCCACTGTAGGAATTCGGCCTAATTCATGATAGTCTAAAATAAAAAAACCCAAATTGTTTTGATAGCATATTCCTGAGAACCAACGAGAATTCCCATAAACCCATTATGGAAATGTATTGATGCAACCATCGTAGACCATGGATTATTGATCCATGAGAATCAATCTTCTCTTTATTGTTGACCTTCACAGTATTACAACAGCATTTTCTATCATGGAATGGTGAAAGTTTGTTGGCATATAAAAAACATGACAGTTTGTTGGCATATAAAAAACCAAAGAATACGGATTGATTTATGATGGTCCAACATAAGAGTAGCAACTTGTTTTGATGGTTTGTTCATGTTTGAAAAATCAGAAATTTCCATCAGTTTCTTAGAAATCAGTTTTTGGAACAATCATGATCCCAATGCAGGAGTTCGGACTGATTTTTGATGGTCCAACAAAAAATTTATTTGATGGTATATTAATTCTGCTGAACCAAAAAGACTTCCCATTAAACCATCATGGGAATGTAAAGTTGGGACCATCACGGACCATGGATTGTCGGTCCATTAGAATCAAACTTCTCTTGATGGTTAACCATCATAGTTTATTAAAGTATCATTTTCCATCATGGAATGATGGGTGTTTGTTGGCATATCAAAAACCACGAACGCATAATGGAAAATGTTGGATGAGGGTGACCATCAAATGGTATTGGCCCAGAAAGCATTTAACCTTACGGTAACCTTGTGTCAGAATTTTCCTTTCAGTGTCACGAAAATATTCGCACTAAAAACCTTTTTTCCAGCAAAAATATTGCGGTTTCAAACCTTTCATTCCAGAAGGATTAAAAACATTTAGTAAAGCTTTTTTTAAAAGTATTGTTTACTTAGGTAAAATGGTCACGTGGCTCTCAAATGACGTTTTATTTGACGTCACACTAGCGATGGGATCAAATTGCATTGTCCATTAAAATTGCAGGACAAGGTGGATTTTAGCTGAGCATACAAAACGCTGCGAAAAGAAACCTGATAATTATCTAGACTTAACATTGTTTGCACATACATACGTAATTATTATCTATATACATACGTACATATATTTTATACCTACAATATAAGTGTATGTACATGTGTGTGAAACTAAAATGTCTGAACATATGCACTAGATAAAATCATGTGTACATACATTTTAGTTACATTCATTTGTACGTATACAAATACGTACAAAATGCAGTACATGTTAATACGTGCAAAATGTATCATTATAAAATACATTCTACTATCTACTGTAAAATATAATCATTTATAAGAATACAATAGTCTTGTAATCGTGTAATTAGATTACATGTAATCATAATTACATGTAATCAAATTACATGTAATCAAATTACATGTAATCATATATTTTGATTACTTGTAATCATAATTACTTGTAATCGTTTTTGTTGTGATTACTTGTAATCGCAATTACTTGTAATCATGATTACAAGTAATTGATTACTGTAATCGACTATGTAATCATGATTACAGCTGTAATCAAACTTTGTAATCACGATTACAAGTAATTGATTACTGTAATCAATATTGTAATCATGATTACAGCTGTAATCAAAATTTTTGAAAATTTTAATCATGATGACAAGTAATTGATTACTGTAATCAAAAAATGTAATCGATTACATTTTTGGCCAACTCTGACTGAAACCAACATAAACCATCGACATTTTTTGATGAGACCATCAAGAATTGTGACTTGAGATGACATTGAATTTCTCTCTCTTCCAGGTTCCTGACCTCCTTCAAGACGAGCACCTACGCGGGATTAAGATCTATCCGTCTCCAGAATCTCCTCTCCAAATCTTGCAGCCTCCGACGAGTTCTGATAGACGTTGAAGAGACCAGTCTCTCTCACCAACTGCAGTTCGCTTTTGGTACTAAATTACGGGAACTCACAGTAACGGGTAGGAACCTCCAGTACGTGTTACCCGATGCATTCCAAGGGTTGGAGACCCACGAACTGATACTGCGCATAACAGGTACGAGTATCAGTCGCCTGCCCAACAATCTGCTCAAGTATCTTGCAGACATTCGATATTTGACATTAGACATCAGAGGAAATTATTTGACCAGCATGGAGGATAGGGTTCTGAGTCCAGCCAGCAGAGTTAAATCTGAGGGATACACGACACAGCATATTTCTGGTAAGTGAAGTTCATGTTTGATTTTCAAACCTATCGAAAGCAAGAAATTTCCTTTTCAATGTTCAAACCTATCGAAAGCAAGAAATTTCCTTTTCAATGTTCAAACCTACCGAGCGTGAAGAATTTCTTTTTCAAACCTATCAAACGATAAGAATTACGATAGGCTTGACATTTTTCAAAGGTTTCGGATGAAGAAAATTTATTTTCAATTATCAAACTTATTTAGTATTTAAAAATTTAACTTTTCAAACGCATCGATCTAAATTTAACTGTAAATTTCATTCTTTGATATTTAACTTGAATAACCTTCTTAAATTCAATAAAATTCATTATCCATTTTTAGTTTCATATATAGCTGGTGAGGGGGGGCATGTCTCCAGAAGCAACTCTTTGAGAAAAATCATGAAAAATAATTACAAATAGATTAGAGAAAAATGCGTGAGTTCGATCACCACCGGTCGAAGAGTCCCCGTGTAGTAAATGGTAACTGGTGCACGTTAAATATGTGGGATCACAAAATCCTCTTTGTTCCCATAAAAAATTTACCTCCAGGGGAACTGAATTTTAGATTGATCGTTCTCTGGTTCAAGTCAAAATTATGAGTTGTGGATGTATGAATGGGTCCGCACTATAAAACGTTTTGTGAGGTTTGTGTGTGACTGAAGTCTTATTCTTGGCCACAGATGGCGCCACTGAAACACGAGAAAAGCACCCTCTGCCTTAAAATTTGCTTGATTTCACCAAGCAGGCTTGCTGATAGTGACAAGGACATTAAAAACAGAGAAGATGCATCGCCCATTACCTGTTGTAGCGTCTGGAACAGACATTTTATGAAATAAAACATTCTTCCTTTCCTGCTGGTCTACAAGGTACATGGCCGACTAAAACTTATATTTTTCTCTTGCATATTATGTCAGACTATGGATTTCAATGAACAA